TCTTCGTGTGACTGCTTACAAATACAATATCAACACATAAAAATATTTTTTATTTTTAGGTTAGGTTAGTATATGTTTAGTTTATGCTTAAGCAAGTATATGTAGGTAATAGAAGAAGGTTCTTTTGAAATTCTTAAATGAAACAAAATTCAGAATCTTCGGCGGATATTATTAAGGAAAAGGTTGATATTAAACAAACTTAGCCACATCTTTGGGTCGTCAATCCCCGAAAGTCCAAAAACAAAGGCATTCAACCTCTGCTTTCTACCAGTTATAATATCCTACGGAACCGAGGCGTGGACATTTAACAACAAGCATCATCAACAAATTTCAAGTCGCTCAGTGTGCGATGAATCGAGCTATTCTTGGGGTTGCTCTGATGGACTGATGACCGATAGAGCAGACTTGTTCTAGATATAGTACGACCTACGGTAATATGGACGGAGGACCTGAGAAAGATGGTCGGCAGCGGCTGGATGCTGGCGGCACAGGACCGAGAAAGTTGACGTGGTCAGTGGATGGCTTATGTCCAGCAGTGGAAGCGTGTAAGCTGATGTAGTATTACACCAACTGCATCACGTCACATGGGTTCTGAACTTGCCCAACACGCTCGTAGCAATCCGTTTTTTCTCGCCACCGAAACGCAGCCAATGTTTTTTGTCGCTACAAAATGGGATGTTGTCCAAACGGTGACTCCCGTTTAGATAATACTGGTTATTTCTGATCTTACATATGTTATTCGTCTGATGAATAATAAGGCCATTGGCCTAATGACAGCGGCTTTATTTTTAGTACCCGAATGCTGGATACGACGCATTTTTAAGTGTCAAGAAGTGACACTGGAAGAGGGGCGTTTTCTTTTGATTTTCTTCCTTCATCAAGGGTTTCTCTATCTTAAATGGAAAACCTTAACACCCGTGTTACTTAGTCTATTAACTAAGAACGAAACATTAATCTAAAACTGAATAATTTGACACTTGTTCCATTATTATCACTAGGTTGGTATATTATTTGAAGTTGGAGAAAACGGAATTTAGAGTTCTCTGCTTCTCATCAGAAAATGGAGATGTAGAAAAATAAACCATAATTTAAAAAAAAATGTTTTTTCTTCTCAAAGTTACGGACTTATCAAATCCTTTTTTCTTCCTATAAGAACAAACCGTCGTAGAGTGTCAGTGGAGTGGCTGTCATGATTTTCATTTATTCATCCAATTACTGACGATCGAGGTTGCATTACTAAAAGTTCCCTGAAAATATACATATCTTGATAATTATCTCGTTTAAACAGCAATTTAGAATTCAAATGAAACATTAATAATATTATTCATTGACTTACAAATATATGGACGTCGGGTCCGCGCTAAAAAGTGTCCGAACTTATAGGGCGTTAAAATTGTATACAGAGCGTCATTCACGCTTTAGTCTTCGTTTGTTCGACTGACAGCGAAGCGAGCAAAATTAGACAGTACTGCGATGACATTACAATTTAAATTCAACGATTTAGCTTTTTCATATTCCTTTACATGTCACTACGTTTAAATAGGTTGACTTGGGACATTTTTTTCGTGGTTTTTGTATTAGACCCGTCGTCCATTTATTTGTAAGTCAATGATATTATTAGACTACACCGTGGACGTGTCATCGACTCGACATTGAAGAGCAGACTACCTAATTGTACTTTTTTAGAAAAAAAAAACAACCTCAAAATTTCGTGGAAATACATCTATTTGCGAAGTTTTATTGAATTCGGTTCGGCTCGGTTCTAGTTTGCCACGCTTAGAGGTGAAATATTTCCTTCAAATTTAAATGGGATTAATACTGACGTATCCTCTTTCTAACAAAAAAAGAATCATCAAAATCCGTTCACAAATAACAAGCCGGAGATGTCGCGTAACGTACATACAAAACATGTCGAATTGAAAACCTCCTCCTTTTGCCTCTGTCGCTGGATATCACATTCTCAAGATATTACATTCTTAAAATACCATACTCGCTAAACACCACATTCGCAAAACACTACATTCTAAGTACAGGTAATACAAGGTCTTACTAGCGACAGACAGAGGTTGATTAGATATTATTTGTCGTACCCTGTGTAACTGAAAATCAGAAATTGACTCCTTACGTCATTGACTTACAAATAAATGGACGACGGGTCTAATACAAAAACCACGAAAAAAATGTCCCAAGTCAACCTATTTAAACGTAGTGACATGTCAAGGAATACGAAAAAGCTAAAACGTTGAATTTAAATTGTAATGTCATCGCAGTACTGTCTAATTTTGCTTGCTTTCCTGTCAGTCGAACAAACGAAGACTAAAGCGTGAATGACGCTCTGTATACGATTTTAACGCCCTATAAGTTCGGACACTTTTTAGCGCGGACCCGACGTCCATATAATTGTAAGTCAATGCCTTACGTGCAATTTTTTGTGCAGATACATTAAAATGGTGTAAGTAAAATTTCAGTCATTCTAAACTTTTAGCAAAATACCAAACGTATCTTATTTTTAGCATTTTAGCAAAATCCTACCATCGACACTCTATGCCAATGATATTACTCTGGACTCACAACTGAGACGATTTAAAATTAGCAGAATTGGGGCTCTGGTCATTTACAGTCGCCAGAGACTGACAAGAGATGTCGCTATTGTCGGTGTCGTATATTAATTACAATAATATTTATTTTATTGATTCACATTCACATAGTTTTTGTACTCCACCAACACCACTTGTTATTATTATATACCAAACACAAAGAAAAAATCCTTCAATCTAACTGAACAACCAGCGTCTGTGGCCTGAACGTGCCTACAGAATAATAAACATAACATTTTAGACACATTAAAGTTTGAATTTGTCTCTTTGTATTCCACTGCTATTTTCGAACACGCCCTGTCTGTATCGGGCATCGTTATTTACAATATTCTGTGGCAGAATTACAACTAACACACTAGACGTTGTAAATTGTAGCGTTTTGGCTTGTAATCATCACTTGGTATTTTGTTTAACATTGATTACTGTATACGCGGGCTGGCTAGTTAGTATGTACAGCAGAAATCTGCCAACGTAAGAACATGGAGGTGTATATCACGCACGTATTTTCGAATATTTACTTATTGTAACCATCTACAGGCTAGAAGCAGTTTGAATCATGTTGATATTTCAAATAATCGTAAATTCATTTCAAATCGTAATTAGGTTATAAACATTCTGGGAAATTTTGTTCATTCATATCGTGTCATAACTACCAATGTTAATATTCATTCATTTTTAACCGACTTCAAAAAAAGGAGGTGTTCAAATCGACTGTATTTTTTTTTCAATTCGACTGTATTTTTTTGTATATATTTTGCGCGATAACTCGTACTTGCAATTTATGAACGAATTTCGATGAATCTCTTTTGTTGGAAAGAGGGTAGTTCAATTTTGGTCCCATTTAAATTTGAAGAAAATATTCCGCCTCTAGATGTGGAAAATTCTGTTGCGCGCGCGCTTTTCGGTAACCAATTTCGATAAAACTTTGCAAATAGATGAATTCCATGAACTTTTGAGGTCGGTTTTTTAGTACTGTATTGAGATTATTATATTTTATTTTTGGTATGTGGACCTATCCACAATATATGACAATTAGCTTAGAAATTAATTGGCAACACTGTTCGGAGTTAAGCTTGAGTGGCGAGCTTCGATGGTAGATAGATGGTGCAATATTTGTTTTAGCAACGACAAATAAAGTCAATAAAATATAGTACTAATTCATTCCAATTTTTATTTTTTTATGATACTAAATGACAGGATGAATAAGTCAAAGTGCAAATTAAAAATTGCAAGTTAAATTGCAAAGATCTGAGGGGCACTGCCACTGCGCCCGTCAACTTGAGACATAAGTTGACAAGTCTCATGTGTCTGTAATGTCACCAGCACCCTTACCCTTCAAAACCGGAACGCAGTAATGCTCACATTACTGCTTGGCGGCAGAAATACGTAAAGTGGCAGTAATTCCCTGAACGAACTGTTACACAAGGAGCTCTACAGCTAGAAAAACCAGATTATTTATTTCTATTTATTTTTGTTGACAAAAATTTAGAGGACTTAGATCTCAAAACCCTACGAGCCCGTTAGCAGTCACATAAACTCAAATTGAGACAATTTAAGCTATTTTTCGGATTTCAAATATCAAAGAAGAGAGTTTAATTTTCGATGACAAATTTTGAGTTTGTTTATGGTAACTTCTGTCTACTTGTTATAATATGTACTTACCTACAAATATTGACTGGAAATTTATATTATATCGGGACAGTCAGCGAACAGTGAACTTTTCTGCACGTCAACTGTTGTATATTTAAGACACCATAGACTACGTAATCTGGTCCAAGAAAAATAAAAATGTTTCAATGCGTTTGCAAGGCCACAACCACTGCACATTTGCATGCTAAACGTCGGTATCGGCGAACACATATATGTTTCTATAATTTACCGCAGCCTTTTGGTTCTCTCTGCAACCTCTGAAGTTTTATGTCTAAATTCATCGTCATCATCATCCACAGCCCTACTTCACCCAGTGCCTCCCATGTGCCATCCACCACGATCCTGCGCTAGTACAGGGATAGAGAGGGTACTGTACGTGCACCCGGGGCGGCTCACCCGAGGCACTAACCTCTTGAGAACCGGATGAAGTCAATGACAACGGTCTGTGACAACCCTGTACACTGGATGCTCGGGGTCAGAACCTGAACTTAGAAGGTTACTGTGCACGCAGAGGTTATAGTGCATTTCTCGTATACCATAAAGGTCGGCATGGAGGGTCATTATAATCAAAACTTATGTAGAAAGGAAGGGGATCCTGCGCTAGTCTCACCCTTCTACGGCGCGCCACTTTGACAACGTCGTCCACCCATTTCGCTACAGAACGTCCCAAATATAACCATTTCAGCATTCGGTTATCGCTTGACTCCATCTGTCTTCACTACTTCATTATTAATATTGTCCCCTTTTACCCAGGCAGTTCAGCACGCGTGGATAAAATGCAGGAGTCTGTGCTTGTGATGCTGGGCAGACGCGTGCGGCTCGAGTGCCGCGCCAGCGCGCGCCCGCCGCCGCGGATATCGTGGTACAAAGACGGCAAGCCAGTTGCCGACACCGCGCTCAGGAGATTCCGGGTGCAAAATTATAGGTAAGCTTCTAGTTAGTCTCATTTTCTGGTACTTTCCTATCAGATAATAACAAATATGTCTAGCTGAGTTTATCGTGTTAAGAAAACTACTTATCGAGATCGCGCACTGGATGCAGATTATAAGTGGGCTCCTTGTATTTTGGATCTATAGATTTAGGGACAATCTACCTTATTACGCACTAAGTAAAGCGCAGGTAGTTGATAAACGTATCATTTATCTATGTTTATTGTACACTAGCGAAGTATATCGTTTATTTTTTCAGCCAGCAGCACATTTCCTTAATGTATTAATCAGACACTCCTGCAAAAGCTGTCAGTGACTAGGCGCATGAGCGGCAAGCGTACCGTGAAATTGTCTGCTGTCTTAATTGACCGATTGTGTCTGTACAATCAACATTTGCTCGGAGTCATACCACTGAACCAACGACCACCAGTCAAATTAGATGAATGGAATCGATACACTCGATTAGAGAAAGTAGAAAAAACACAAAATCTTGGACCATCCTAACGAAGCCCAACTCTAGTTTTCACGAGCTGCTCACGCGCTGTTTGCATTACCTACACAAGAAAAATAAATTACAGTGCTCTGGTATTTTGTTTTTATATATATATATAAATACATAGATCCGTTACATATATAATATCGTGTTCTATTTAGATCAGTTGATATTAAAAAAAACATTGGTATCTATGTAAAATACCAATTCAATACAGCGGTTTTCTTGTAGTCTCGAGAATGGTTTGTTTTTTTACTGTCGTGAAAATTTTTAGGATTCGTGTTTTTACACCGTATACTAGGTAATCAGTGTATATCTTCCATTTTACTAATATATTTTATCGAAAGAGATTGATTCAACACCTTCACTGTTATACGGAACAATCAAAGCCATTTGAGGTTGCATCGTCTTAAATATGAAATAATACGTAGATGCAGGGACCTACTTAAAGATAAACTACGCCTTGTATCGTAGCAATGAAACGTATCGTTATATAGGTACTTTGTTGATCCACTTAATGCATTTATGTTACACGCCCAGGTCAATGACAGAGGTCTGCAATCGACATTAGCACTAAACTCAGACTAATTGACTCTTGAGATCAAATGAACAATATTCGTAATGTGAACACCATAGCAGATCATTAAGCAACTTAATTATTTTACGGTAACCGCTCAAGAATGATTATACTATACCTTAACTATACCTTATTATCTTATTAACTATACCTTACCGTAAAATGTGAGCATTATACATTTCAGCAGTAAGCATTACTGCGTTCCAGTTTGGACGGGTAAGGGTGCTCATGAAATTACGGGCATATGGGACTTGTTAACTTATGTCCTCGGGGTACGGGCGCAGTGGCAGTGACCCTAAGATCTTTGCGAGTTAAAGCTCTGAGTAGCACTGCTGTTATGGACAGGCACATCACAGGTGCACGACATATTCGCCCCGTCACTGGTGTTATAAAAAAAGACTTTATTTATCGTTAATGTGGCGACTGAAAAAAAGCATATTGTTTTATTTTCATTTCTTTAACATTCTTTTCTCAGTTTTGGGTTTTTGTCACGAGCAAGCAATCTGTAATTGTATTGTATGTATTTCATGGTTTGCATCATGTTGTTTGCATTTGTGCCTACCTACGCATATTAACCTATAAATTCGTGTAATTGAACAGATAATTATTGGCGCATCACTACATGCCAGTAGTAAAGAATTGTTAGTGTTAGTTAAAGAATACAAGCATACTTGTTTCAGCGCAAGATCAACAAATACATGAGTCAACTATGTCATAAACATGCAATCATCTAGGTAGTTTGGTCGTAATTACTTAAGCACATCTCTACGGTACCTAACCAACACGGGTCCCTTGGTATATAAGTAATAATTTAATTTTAATATATCTCCGTAAGTAAGTAACACTTCTTTCTTTGCCAGGTGTTACAGCTAGAATCAAGTCTCTTAATAAACCTTAAATGTATAAAAAGTAGAGTAGGTAAAGGCAGATTAAGAAACACAAGTTTTAATTAACCAATGTTCATTAAAACAGTCCCTTGTAGTTACAAAGATCGTCTCAAACGGCAGTGTTCATTATTAGATACAAGTCACAACACTATCACATCAGCCGCACGCAGTGCATTTCGTTGCGCGTGCAAGGCAGTGCTCTTGGTCCCGTGCCAAGTTCTCATACTTCCTGATTATATAGATATTGGAATTTATTTATATTTTTTATTAACCGTCTATTGGTACTTTTCAGGAGACGCTCGGTACTAGTGATAACACATGCGCGGCTAGAAGATTCAGCGCGATATGAGTGCAAAGCACAAGGCGCGGTTGGGCCACCGGCCGTGACGCACTGCAATGTAAGCGTCACGCCGCCAGTTACGTCCACATCTGATCCAGGTGATAAACTACTTATATTATTTGTTCGAAACATTTTTGCGGTAAATTTTAATATCACACTCTTCGCTTCTACTTTTCTGGCTTAACAACCTGCAGAGGATTTCGGCCTCCGAGATTAAAACACGCTACTCTCTTCTATACTGCGGTGGTTCTCGCTATCTGGTCTAGACTGCTACAACTCTTTAAAAGTATAACGACAATATAAAATCTGTATTGATATAAAAGATAGTGCCAACGATTAAGACGCGTGTAGTAAAAAGCTTGCTAATTGAAAATTTCCTTGAGAAATATATCTTTCTCACCAGACCACATAAAATAGCTTTAATTCCAACTAAAAATCACCGTCACGCCTAATTGCGAGCTAATGGCCAAAGTTCCGACTTCGTTTTAAATAAGCTCTCATTCATTTACTCCATTGTTTACACTGATATCACTTGATCAGCATCTCCACGAAAGGGGCCAAGTTTATGATGAGTATAAACAAAGGATGTCACTTATTTACCGTTCATTCTTGCGACTCGCTACTGCGATGAGAACTTTTACTGTGTGTTCTTAGAACACCAGACAATGAACGTATAAAGGCCAATGGAGTGATCAGTTATAATGCATAATGAGATATTGCTATTAGCTGTTGAAGTCGCAAAATTCATAAATATGCAATCATTAACTGTCGAATGATACAATAAATACAATAATTTCTGATCAACGATTACTTAAATTTACTTCATTCTTTTTTAATCAACATTAATAGTATCAATTCAGACTAAAATTGGTGTATTTTTTAATTGCAACTTAATCTTATTATTAACTTCTAAAAATTCCCGGGGTTCCTGTCTCGTGGACTTGATTGTAAATCGTATATTTTTATTTTTACAGCGTCATTAGGCGAACCGTGCCCTATGCCTGATCCTTCATCGTATTGCCTCAATGGAGGCACCTGCTTGTACTTCGAGCCAGTTCAAGAACAAGCTTGCAAGTGAGTAAAATAATTTTTATTTCATTAAAAAAGTACTGTAATTTTTAGTTTTTGTGTCGTTAGAATTTTCGTGAGTAGTTCGTAGTATATGATATAAGCCAAGTTTAAAGAAATAACTTTAAATGGATTACGTTCAATATGTTCATCATTCAACTCATTTTCAGTTGTTATTTTAAATTAATTACATTTTACAATTACGATCCACGAACGATCAAATAAATGACTCATTTAACAAGAAAATGAAAATATTGCAGATGTCCCGAAGGTTTCAACGGACAACGCTGCGAGAATAAGGACGTGTCGAATAGGAGCAGTATGTATCATTCCTACACATGCAAACTGGGCCTTTCCACGTCGTACTACTGTTAGCCAGCGCAGCGCCGGCGCCTAACCCACCTTGTTCCAATTATAAATTTAAAATTTTAGTTCGCAGCGTTCCGACGGAACACGACTGTTGGACTGTGAAGATATTTTTTGTCGATGATATGTTTTCTGCTCTCAATCAATGTTGGATCAAAGGAATTCCTACAATAGTACCTACTTAAAAACAATAAAATATTCTAAAATACATATTATTATGTCACTCTATCTTGACGTGTATTAAAATATTTTTCACATCCAGCGTATAATTTACAGCAAATATCAATAAAGGATTTATTGAGATTTGTTGCGAATTACTTGGAGCTAAAATGCCTAAAATTGTTATAGAAAAGGGCCAGCTGTTTCCATGGCTATTGTATATAGTTAATGTCCACTTAAAACTCGTTCATCTCGCTTGCAAGTGAAGAAGTCACAGAGTTTTCCACTATTAAAATTATAATTTATAATTGCATTTAACTGTTTGCTTGTATGTTTACTTCATTTTTTTTATATTGTTAACTTTGTTATTTCGCATAGCTTTAAATTATTTTAAATTGTTTTGTGTGAATAGCTGGCCCAGTGAGATTATACTTTTAAGTATTTTTATGAGCGAACACAAATTATTTCGTCACAATTATTAAACTTTAGATACTTATGTGAACTGAGTTAACGTTTGGTGATAGCCACAATTTGTCCATTATAATTATTTTAATAATAGGCTTTGTCAAACCCTTATTACACTTTAATACTCTTTTTTATTAACAAATAGTTAATTAACGTGAACACGATATAGAACGGCCTATGTAGTTATATTTTTCTTTTTTGTCTTAAAGTTGTAAATATATCACATACATTTTTGTAATTTTGCGATTTATAATTAACTCTAAGGTTTGTACTAGTAGTATGTAATGTTCTGATGAAGAGACTTGAAGTTGTGTACATATCTATTAGGGTAAGGGGTTTGTATGGATTTTTATAATAAAATAACAGATGACGTGCTTCACTTTGCTATGCTGGAAATATTGTAACAAAAGAGCAAGAAAAAATAGAACACAAACGTTTGAAATTTCAAAACATATTATGGACATTATTAAAACTGAATAGTAAACATAATTCCAGTTTTCTTCAATTTTTTATACTTACATGTACTTTTAAAACTATAATTTCCATGATTTCGTCAATCCGATATGCTCCACCTAGTCAAAGAACAGTTTTAACTATAGCTAGGTATAAATAAATTAATTTATGTATTATTTTATGAGTGTGGCTAATTGAATGGATGGAATATCAGTCTTCTACTCGTTTCTCTTTACAAGTTATCAAGAAAATTATTTTTTTTTAGTTCATATTGTATGGGACCGATTTCTATTAATATCTAGATTGCAGTTTCGTTAAAGTTTTAGTTTTTTTTAATACCTCTGTAAAAAGTTCTTTTAATTTTTTAAGTTCCATATTTATATGTAATTAAAAGTAGAAAAGGGACTATTTATTTTAATACGATAAAATAAAACTTGGGGTACAATGACGTCATAAACATAGAATAATAATAAATGAATAAATAGACAGATTCCGTTTTTTACCATAATTATTTGTCCAGTTCGCAAAAAAGTCACATATAAATTTTTTAATTTGTTTTACTTTTTATGACGTCCTTATATCTTAATCGGGAGTTGTAGTCTCACAACAAATATTAAGGTGCAAAATGTGAAATCGATGTAATGGTTACACCAAATCACAATAAAAGAATGAGTGTTGGAATTAACAGAAAGGCGATAACTCGTTTTTGTTCTCACTCGCACTCTCCTAAATCCTAAAGAACGAATAAAGATGGAAAACACAATTCGGAATAATGGTATGTATTGAAGTATATAATTTCAAAATTAAGGTTTTTGCGCACTCAAATAACACTCCGCACTCATTTTCTAAATGAATATAATGTAACTTTTATTATTTTGCTACATTCAGCACAAAATATTAAGCCACTAATGCTTTGTAATGTATTTACTAATCAAGCATGCTTACTGCATGTGCAATAAAGGTATTCTGAAAATCACCTTATGAGAAACATACTATTTGTTGTGAGATAACAATGCAATAGTAATATAATATACAGTAGCATAATAGTCATATTTATAACATTGCATGCGAAATGAAGTTCTACGTACATATTTTTAATAGATTTTGTTGTGTTAACAGGCGAAGGCGAGCGGTTATGGTGACGAGACGACCGATCAGAAATCGAAAGGCTTGGCCGAAAGTGGAAAAATCATTCCCGTATTTCTGGAAATATTAAAACGATACTTAAAATTATATAATAAGCCCGGTTAACAAATTTTACTTATTTTTCGTAACATGTGTCTAATAAATTCGGCGAAAAATGAGAGAAATACAATTTTTAAATCTCTATTTTTAATAAATCTCATTTTATTTTATTAAACTCGGTAGGAATAAATCGTAAGTACAAAACCTTGATGTTACCCCACCTACAAAAATTATCTACACGTACATACATATTATGTAGAAAAGTCTTTTTAGTAGCAAACTTGGCTGTTACAAATTGTGTACTTTATAATAATTGGTGCCGTATAGTCGAATTAATGTTAAAAATATACTCTGCTATAAACTCAAATGTATAATACTCTAAAAGTAGATAGCTTTTGTATTATATTTATTTTGTACAATATTTAGATAAAAAGTTTGTGGTGCTTAGAAATATAACTGAATATTCCAAGTGTTCCTAAAACGCCTACGTTACAAACATAATATTGAAATTGGAAATATCGCCTTGTAAATCCGTAACGGAAAACCTACCATTTAAAATCCGTCCTAAAATATTATTCAAAATATATTATATGCCCTGTAACATTAGAAAAAGATACTTAACTTGGCCAGTAC